GGATATGGCTAATGCAACTCTGCATATGGTCTGGCCATTAATTTGTGCATTCACAAATTCACATACTTGTTTCCATCTGTTGTTGCTTCTATCCTGAGTAGCAGTAATGCCTAAAATAGAGGCATACAGGATTTTTTTGTTACACGCTCTCTGATGTTTCAGCAGCAGTTGTAAACATCCTTCCTGTCAGCCAGCTCTATAAATGGTGATGAAGGATTTTTTTTTCCCTTTTTTTTCCTGACTCCCTCTTAAAATTCAATGAAGGCAGAGGACAGTTTTGCTTTCTGTCCTAGTTCAAATTAGCTTGCATCCTTATGCATCCTTCCTTCAGTAGTGTCTCCTTTTTAGTAAAAACTCCACTTGATTTCATTGCTTTAGTGTTCATATTTTCACCGTTATCTTCTCTAAAGCAGCATCTCCCTTCAGTTGTACTTCTCAGAAATGCAGTTAGATCTCTGCTTTTAAGACTTCTTAACTGTGCATCCTTGTCTTCCCTACTTCTAGATGTCCCACTGATTTATTTCATGTTTCCCTTACCATTGCTTTTGCCTTTGACTGTCTAGAATTCTTTTTGTGACAAGTATCTTCAAAGGTAGGCACTGCTGTGCCTTTTGGCTGCATTATGAGAGGTGACACAGACACTCCTTTTCTGTTGCCACTGTGCAGGTTCACTCTTTTGTGGTCACCTGCTCATTTCTTCCTTATGATAATGCTTATCTGAATCTGTCTGTATAAATAAACGCTTCTGATAGTATATGGAAAATACTTACGTATTCCTGCTCCCTGTTTCTGAATGTCTCCTCTCTGTTTGCTTGGTTGTGATTACACAAAAATAATATAGCTAACCTGTATAAACAAAAAACCTAACTGACTTGAGAGTTGTGTCACTCCCCCATTTCCCTTGTGGTGTGTGTACGTCAGCATATTGTATGGAAGCATTTATTTAGAATTTAAATAATTTATATATGAATGTAACCTATCTGATGTTTGACATAAATGAGAAGATGCAAATTATTTTGCTTCCTAGATCTTCAGCTTGTTAAAAATAATGGTCTTATTTTAGATTCTGAAATACCAGAGTCTGAAATTTAGACAACCTAAAAGATTCTTTCCTCTGTTTCTTAGGTTTTCAACTCAAGACTATTACGAATCAAAGAAAGACATATGTTTCTTACGTTCTTGGGAAGAGCCCAGTATGACCCAGCACAACCCAGCTACATCTCTCTGGACCAGCTAGTATCCTTGCCTGATGAGGTGTTTTGTACAGAGATTGCCAAGGCTTCTATACAGGACTTTGAAAAATTCTTAAAAACACTTTAATTAGTAGCACATGTAAAAAGGAATAAAGTTACGAAATAAACATGTCTTATAAAATTATTCCCTTCTTAATTACTGGTTTAAGGAGTTGTTACTTCTGAAACATTTGTAGGATTTAAAGGCTCACAGTAAGATTCTTCAGAATGTATTTCAGAAGGATTGAGTGAATATGCTGATTGCTACTGATGCAATCCTTGTAATTAATGTCTAACTTCAGAGTGAATGATGCAGCACACTAACAGAAAAGTAAATTAAAGTGGATTCTTTCTTATTCTTTCTTCCCCCACCCCCCTCAGTACTTCCAGAGGTCTAGGAGATGGAAAAACTGGCTAGTGGCTTATTCCCTGTCTCACCCTTTGTCTTCTCCCCTTCACCCCCTCCTCCCAGAAGTTACAATAACAAGCTAATGCAGTAGAGAAGTGACGTGTTTGCCTGCTATTATCTTAAGAGCTAGCAATGTTATTCTTTTCCGTGTATGGCAGCAAGAAGTACACTGTTACATTATGTAAAGTCCCTCATATAAAAAAGCATTTTCAACAGGTTACAAAGGTGCTTCTTTGCGAAGCTGGCTGCTGAAGTTAATATCCTAAAAGCTGTGCAGTGAAACTTCATTTGAAATAACAAAGAAAATCAGCAAACTGGATCTAGGCAAATTACAGAAAGAAAATAAAGCTATAAATGTCCCTGAAATCTAAGAGGAGCTTATTTTAAGTCACTTGTCTCTTCTCGTTTAGGGGGAGCAGTTTTTTTCCCATCCGTGTGAGATTTGTATGACTTTAGTAAACAAGTAACTATATGAAAAGAAGCTGTAGTATATACTTAGAAGAATTGTCTTGTTCGGTGTTAACAAGTGAAATAAATGCTCACATTAATAACCGCAGGAGCATTTAAAGTATTTAATCCTACCAGGAAACAAGTCACATTAATATGGAATTATCAGATGCTTCACGGTTTGTTGTGATAAAGTGAAGAAATGGAGTAAACCCAAATGCAAAATGTCTGATTTTTCAGAAATTTCCATTCTTTCAGTTAAAACCTTTCAGAAAACTGAAATCCAGATGTTTTCATTTGGAGTTAGAATCGTAGAATCATTAAGGTTGGAAAGGACCTTAAGATCATCACCCTTTTCCTGTCACTACAGTCTCTAATGAAGAGTCCCTCTCCAGCATCCTTATAGGCCCCCTTCAGATACTGGAAGGCTGCTATGAGGTCTCCACGCAGCCTTCTCTTCTCCAGGCTGAACAGCCCCAACTTTCTCAGCCTGTCTTCATACGGGAGGTGCTCCAGTCCCCTGATCATCCTCGTGGCCCTCCTCTGGACTTGTTCCAACAGTTCCATGTCCTTTTTATGTTGAGGACACCAGAACTGCACACAATACTCCAGGTGAGGTCTCATGAGAGCAGAGTAGAGGGGCAGGATCACCTCCTTCGACCTGCTGGTCACGCTCCTTTTGATGCAGCCCAGGATATGGTTGGCTTTCTGGGCTGCGAGTGCACACTGAAGCCGGCTCATGTTCATTTTCTCCTCAACCAACACCCCCAAGTCCTTCTCTGCAGGGCTGCTCTGAATCTCTTCTCTGCCCAACCTGCAGCTGTGCCTGGGATTGCTCCGACCCAGGTGTAGGACCTTGCACTTGGCATGGTTAAACTTCATGAGGTTGGCATCAGCCCACCTCACAAGTGTGTCAAGGTCCCTCTGGGTGGCATTCCTTCCCTCCAGTGTATCAACTGAACCACACAGCTTGGTGTCATCAGCAAGTTAAGCTTATTTAATGAATAATCCTCAATGGTTTAAAAGCTCAGTGTTGGAGCTTAAAATACCAATTTGTATGCAGACAGCAGAATAAATTTCAAAAGGTTAAATTCCCCTAATAGGTGGGAAGTAAAGTAAGGTTAAAGAGAAGAGACATTTAAAGAATGAGTACAGTAATGATATCTGGATTATTACTTGAGTCTTTTATCCAAAATAAAAAAAAAATGGAATTGGAATTACAATACCCAAGTAAAGAAGTGTTGTCAGAACAAGCAGAGTGCAAAATGATTTACTGGGCTATCACTTAAGCACAGTAAAAAGCTACATTTATTTTCTGTAATAGTATCTGAGATGTCCTCTTTTGTCTTCTGTTCTTGTTTCCCACCCACTGGCCTGGGAAGATCACTCAAAATCTTCTATTAAGTAGCTTGTTCTTGGTAAAGATGCATAACGAATTTAATCTAAGATGGTAGCTGAAATGTGATGGCTGAGCACTTTATATCTAATTCAATATGCCTATTTAGATTTTGACTGTATTAAAGGTATTAATTAAAAGTGGCTCCATAATGCCACAGAATTTGCTTTTGCAGGTTTATTCTGCTGTCCTTATCACGATCTGTATTACCATGTGACAAACTGTTACAATACAAAATTACATTACATAATGCATGCATTTTGAATGTCTCCAACTTTGGGCTTTTAATTCCTTTAATATTTTTAAACGTAAAAATAATTGCTGCCAGAGCTAAACCAGGGGTTTTGAAATGTTAAATGCATGAGCTTATGCCAAAATAGCTTCCCAGAAATACCATGAAGAAACAAAGCAAAAGATTTTATGGGAGTGCTAAAAGGAAAGGGGAAAGAGTATAGAAGTTTTTGAGGATCATGCCAAATACTTTTTGGCTTTAAGATGAAAAAAGAAAGGGGGGGTTTAGACGAAATGTTTGGCCCAGAACTTACTATACTCTGCTGTTCTTGATAAGGGCTAGCAGCCTTTGATTGAGCATGTTAATTGAGGCTTGATGTGTATAACTCCTTGAGCTCTGCTGACACACGGTTTGAGCTGTGCTGTTTGCTTGTGTATCACAGTCAGCTGCGTGCTTTTGAGTGACATATCTACTGTAGCAATAGTGCTAGTATAGTTCCATATACTGATTTCTTTAGAAGTGCAGCCGTCTGCTTATGAAGGGATTGCTGGGGAGAGGCAGTGATGGGTGCCTCAGGAAACAGCTGCTCACCTGGGAGCTATGATACCTGAATAGAGAGAGGTTTCTGCATCTTTCAGTGATTGACTTTGTGCTTACTGTATTCTGATTTTTAGCCGATACCTTCACAATTGCTGGTCTGAAGAATCTTCATAGCACCCAGTTCTGCTGCCCTTATTGACAGCTGGTTTACCTTACACCAAAGCAAGCACTTGTTCACACCAGCTCTCCACGCACTACAGCAGTGGGCACGCAGGTGAGTACCCGGGCACCGCTAGCAAAGGCAACGCTCGGCCTGGGGCTATAACATGTTGGTTTTTGCATGGCTGTCCGTTTGCAGAGGCACTGCGGTGCAAACACACTGTGAGGAGACGGCGCTGTCACTCGTTCTGAGCAAGCGTTGCCTAATCTTAATTACCGATCCTCCAACACCAAAACCGCTATCTAAAACCGCTGTAGGAATCATGCGCTTCACCGTGTCCACCAGGGCCTCCCCTTTGCTGCTCTCTGCGCCCGCGGGTGGTGCCTCAGAGCAGCCCGGTGCCCTGCGGCAGCAGACGGCCTAGCGAGACGCCCCAACCTGGAGGGGCCGTACGGCGGAGACTCGTGAAGCATCCCCGTCCTCCGGGACGCTCCGCCTGCCCGTGTGAAAACGCCGGCGGGGAACGCCCGCAATCCTCCCCTGCCGGCACCAGCCCGCCCGTTGCCTCCCCGCTGCCGGGGCGCATGCGCCAGAGCCGGGGTGACATTGGCGGGGCCGGTGCGCCCCGGGAACGCTGCGGATTACCCAGAAGGCAGTAGGCCGCGCCGAGGTCAACATGGCGGCGAGGGCGTCGGGTGAGGCGGTGGAGGGTTTCCGGGGTGGTCGTGCGGGGCCGTGCTTGCCGCGTTTGTGGTGTGGGGCTTGTTCTGTCCCGTCCCGTCCTGCGCTGGGAGGCGAGGCAGGCCGTGATAGGAAGGTGGGGAGCCGGTGGGCGGTGTGCGCTGTGTGCCCTTGACAGGGGAAGTGCCGCAGCTGATGTATCGCCGGCAGGGCTCTGTCGGTCGGGTTTCCTCACTGTCCCTCCCGAGCGGCGGCCTCTCGGTCTGGGCCTCAGCGGAGGAACCTGGATCCGAAACCGAGGTTTTTTTGAGATCAGGGGGCAGAAGGTGTTCGGGGGCAGCGCTGGCCTACCCAGGTACTGGCACCAGGCTTAGATGGTCTAATGTTATTCCTTTTCAAGCCCTAAAAAACGAAGGAATGAGGCCTGATGAGGGGGTATGCAAATGATGTACTGGTATCACACATAGCACTGGTTTTACGGGGTGTCACAGTGAGATGACATGAAGAACAGTTTGCCCTGGATTCATGGCCCATGTTATATGGTTTCAGAGTTGGTATTTGGTACTACACTGTGCTTGATCACAGGTAAAAATACCTTTGCTATCCAAGATCATCGTTAAGGAAAGGTGAATATTCTGCATGTGGTGTGCTTTATTATTTTTAGTTTTAAAGCAATTTTTTGAGGTTTCAGTGTTGACTTTCCAGTTGACTTTGTCAGCCTTTTGAAAAAGGAAACTCTGGAATAGTATTTAAGTAACTGGAGAGGAGAGCAGAAGGTTAACAACATAGTAATACACTGCCTTTGAAACTGCATTAATCCATAGTGAGAGATGTGGAACTTCAATAAATTGTTTGGAAAGCATGATGGTTTTGCTGTACGTAGAACGTGGTTTTAGCTCAAGTAAAAGTTACACAGTCTGAAAGTGTTACTGCTGCCTTTGACACCAAACTGTTAGCATTGATGCAAGTTTTAAAGCAGTCTAATATTCAAATTTAGTGAAACAGAGGCCAAATTACTGTATGTAACAAGCACTCATTCTGCCTGTTCAGCATCAGTTAAGGGATGCTGAAAAGCAGAGAGGCTAAGTCAAACTTGATGCAGTATTGAAGGACTCTTCATTAGGGACTTGTCCTGGGTTCAGTGACAGAACAAGGGGTAACAGGTTAAAACTTAAACAGGGGAAGTTTAGATTGGATATAAGGAGGAAATTCTTTCCTGTTAGGGTGGTGAGGCACTGGAATGGGTTGCCCAGGGAGGTTGTGAATGCTCCATCCCTGGCAGTGTTCAAGACCAGGTTGGACAAGGCCTTGGGTGACATGGTTTAGTGTGAGGTGTCCCTCCCCATGGCAGGGGGGTTGGAACTAGATGATCTTAAGGTCATTTCCAACCCTAACCATTCTATGATGAGTGCATGGGAAGGAGGCAAACAACTGTTTGTGTGCTGTCATAGTAGTGTTTAAATGTTGAATTTTATCTTGCTCTGCAAATGATGTTGGTCCCGTTCAGTCGCAGGAGGCGGTCGCCTCATGGACAAATTTCGCAAGTGGTATTACAATGCAGCTGGATTCAACAAACTAGGTAAGTGTTTCACTGAGCTTGAAAAAGTCTGCAAGACTGACAGTCTTCAAACAAGTTATGGGTCATAACTGATGTATGTGCATGCAGCTTACATAAGTCTGTTTGGTCAAAATTAGCTGCTACTTCTGTGGGGAAAAAGTTAGCAATAGCTTTAGTTGTCATCATTGTGCCTGGTAATGTATCATTGACTTTTCTATTATTTGTGTGTTTGCTGTTCTTTTCAGTGAAATAACTTGCAACAGCTAAGGTTAAACTGGAGCAGTTAAAAAAACTTTCACAGAGTGGTCCTGAGAGCTTTATTATTTATCTCTTCCCACCAAGTCACTTTCACTGGCCAGTATCTTCTAACCCAAAGTCTGCCCTTGAAGGTGGACAGGTTCCCGCTGATAGCAGTCAGTCTGTGTGCAATACTTATACTAAGTATCCAAAGTGCAAAAAAGGATTTAGTTAGTTCTGCCCTTTGCATCACCGTAAATTCACTTCACAGTCATGAAGTAGGTGTAAAAATAGTGTTTCCTTAAGTAGAGGAGGTTACCTTGACGATACTGTCTTCAGTTTGTTCAGAGTTACAAAGTTTGTTTCAACTATTTATGCAGTAGAACTGTCCTTGGGTGACAAGAGGATCTGAATAGTCAGAGGCCTTAATTTACTACTGATCACAATATGAGCAAATATTTTAAAGAAATGTAACATAACTGCCCTGAGGAAGTTAGGAAAAAAAATGCAAGGAAATTGTGGAAGAATAAGTGTAGGTCTTTCCTTTGGAGATGCAGTGCTTAGCCCCTCTTTTTTATATCTGTCTGCTGAAATTCTTCATAGAATCATAGAATGGTTTGGGTTGGAAGGGACCTTAAAGATCATCTGGTTCTGACCGCCTTTGGGCAGGACACCTTCCATTAGACTAGGTTGCTCAAAGCCCAAAGTTCTTTAGGGTGTTAATACTTTTTGCTGCTTTTCTAGGAATATGACTAGAAACTGAGGAGAAACACCACATTTAATGTAGTGACTAAATTAGCAGCCATGCTCCCTGTGCCTTTGAAATAAATTACATACCTGAATTCAAGAATATGTAGCTTAAAAGAAATTTCTGGCTTAATAGGAGACTATTGCCAACTCAGTCACATGAGATCAAAGCTGTTCCCAAATCAGTGGGTGTATACTCCCTTAATCTGCATCAGTCTTGAGATGTTACAGAAGTAACATTTTGTTCTATGTTGTTAATACTGAAACTTAAAGCAGGGTTGGTTGAATTTCAGGAATCGTTTGTTCCGCAGACAGTGTGGAGGTGTTCTTGGTTTAGAAAACTAGGTGCTTCTCCCTGATTTAACTTCTGGTTTGGGGCAGTGTGGGAGGGAACCGACTCGTGCACAAACATCTAGCTTCAGGTTTCCGTAACTTAATATAGTCAGTGGAGATACAGTCGTTATGCATAGTGAAGTTTACTTCAGTGCTGAAGAATTATTCTTTAGTCACATCTGTGGCTGACAGATGGTGATGGATTTAGAGCTCTTAAACCCTTTTCCTAGACAGTCACCTTAAATACAGATATAAAATTAGATGAGCGTAAGTTCATAAGTTTTTATATATGTTCTGCATATATACTCTTATGAAACATATTGAATTAAATACCCATTTTCCCTATTCCTCCTTCAGAAAAGGATTAAGAACAAATAAATAAAGTATGTGAAAGCTAATGTTTAGAGTTTGTTTTCTGTGAGTGACTAGTGGTTCTCTTCTGGATTGGTTTGGGTTTTATGCATTGGAAGCATTTTTCCCATGTCACGTAGAAACATCTGTGTCAATCCTAAATCCTATGTAAGAATATTTTTTCAGTGATACCATAAAATCTTATTGGTACAGGATTAATGAGAGATGACACATGGTATGAAGATGATGATGTAAAAGAAGCAGTGAGGAGACTCCCAGAACATCTTTACAATGAAAGAATGTTTCGTATAAAGCGAGCACTTGATCTAAGCCTGAAACATCAGATCCTCCCAAAAGACCAGTGGGTGAAGTATGAAGAGGTTTGTGTACAGAACTTTACGGAATTTTTCTGTAAAAAAAAGCGGAAACTGTAGCTCAGAGCCATTGAACATTGTTTGTATTCAGACAAAACATTTCTTCTAAACTATCAGATAAAGGAATACACTGTAACTAGCTTTGGAAGCCTTATGAAAGATCTCTTGCTTTTGTGGTTAATTTCTGAATTTTAAGAAAATCCTGAGCCAAAACTTTTATTCATGAAGATGCCAAGGAATGATAATTTAAAGAGAAACCTTGCATTAAAATAAGTGTCATCTTGTAATTTGGAAAACAAACTACACTTTCCTTTTCAGATGTAATTAAATTTTTATTTGTAGTGATTGATTCACAGACTCTGTATTGTTGTCCATCTCTTTATCCAAATTACCTGGCAGAGAGGAATCTTATCACTAAATGTTTGACTATAGGGTAGCCTAAGGGCATTATGTTTCCCTATATAAGCAGGGACTGTTTCTTGTGGTCTTATTGGTGGTATTTAGGTAACTGCTGCATTGAATAACTGTCTGTGTAGTTCCTTAAGCAGTATTTTCTTTGTGAGCGTTAAACACTGTTGAAATGTTCTATCAAATCCAAGTATATAGCACTGTTTGAAGTTAAGTTCAAAATTAGTTCCTTGAGTATATTATATTACGGTTGGACTTAGAACTGAAGTGGATATTGTACATTTTGTTATCTGCCAAAAGAACATAGTTTCTAAAGATACGGCTGGAAGCATCGCTTTGCTTGTTCATGTTGGCGGGGCATTAGGAATTAGTGGTTGCTGTGGTAACGAATTTGTCACTGCAGACTTGAGAGATACAACATTTACCTTATCAGAGTAAGTAATGTTTGATTTTAATTTTTTGGTTAGGTTTTAGTCAAATCGGAGGACAAATGAGAGACAAGTAGTCGGTAGGAATGGCTTGAGATGTTTCTGGACCTTTAGTAAGTTTAAATATATTCTCTTCTTTTTCAGGATCACCATTATCTTGAACCATACTTAAAAGAAGTAATCCGTGAAAGACTTGAAAGAGAAGAATGGAACAAGAAATAACTATTGAACTACTTCATGCAAATATCCACATATTTCTGATATTTTTAAACATTTGGATATAAAAGTCTACAGGGAGGCAAATATGAGGCTGAGGAATACTGTTTCAGCTTGTTCATTGAATCTATTCATCCAAGTAAAATAAACATGTCAAAGTATAAAACCTACTTGGAAGAGTTCTTTGCAAATGTTAACAAGCTAATGTTCGGATCTTTCCTATGAGCGTATACATTACATATTAGCTTAGTGGTATGCAGTCTTCATTCCAGCTTTTTGATTCTTACTCTTTTCATAGTACAGCTGTTCTCTGCAGTTGTAGGAGTAGGTAAGAAACACACAAAGGTGTTGGTGCTAGTTGCCTAGTTAAATTAAAAAAGGGGTTGCTTATTTCCATCATCACTTCTGCCTGGAGACGACAATACTGGCCCAGTGCTGGATGTTATAGTGCATCATGAGACAACAGAATGCAATATTCTGTAATATGTATGGGTTTAGATGCACAATAATGGAAAATATACGTGATTCCTTAATCATAAAATGAGGAAGTGTTTCACTACCTTTTTTGTGCCATATACATTGTTAAAGGGTGTTTTCATATAAATCATAATGACCATCTCATTCAGTTTCTTGAGATTTTTTTTTTATCCTTTTATAGGGCAAAAGTGATATGCTGATGTACTTTCAACAGCATTAATTAACTTCCCATATATTTTCTTCATCACTTAAGGCATGCTGTTGTTCACAGTGATTGGTATTAAGTGTTTTAAGTGGTTAGGTTAATGACATTAGAGATACACATGGAATTTGGGCTCTGCTAAAAAGCAGAAGGATTTCAGTTGTATTGAGAAAATACTGGCTTTTGCTGGCTGAAGACCTCGCGTTTAGTCTTCCACAGTTTAATGGTAGTGTTAACTTGAAACAGATTTTTGGAATATGTAAAATTCAAAGCCTATCATATAGCCCTCTGTGTGAAATGCAGAGTCTTGTGTGATAGTCCCAATGTTTATGTTTTTCTTTGTTATGCATGCTTGTCTGCCAAATGCAAGAGCCCAGTGACCAAAACCTAGAGCAATTTAGAAAAAGCAAAATTACATAAATATGGAGTAAACTGTATCTGTAGTTTTGAATTGGTATGCCCAGATGATACAATACTGGGTTAGAAATTAGAATGGAAACAGTCTTTTAGCTGTGTTCATCGCTCTGTTACTAACCTTCATCTTCTTGCTTCAGTTGTTCCCATCCAGTGATCCTTGGATGAAATATTTATTACAGAACATCGCAGCCTGATGCGGTAAAACAAAATGCTGCTGAAATACCTGCATCACTGATATTCCTTAAAAGTCTGTGGGGAGATTATACTAAGAATGTGAGGGTTTTTTTCATCTCCTATAGTAAAATCTTACGATGGAAGTAATATGTAGTTTGAGAACTTTCTGATTTTCTTCTGAGAGGCAGACGAGGCCTTAATTTTCACACTTCTTTTATATAATAATTATTGCGGAATTATTAGAATACTTGATTTTTTAATGGAATTAGAACTATTTAATCTGTTAGAATAATATTAGAAGACCTAACTATCTAATGGAAATAGAACTTGAAAGGCATAGATGGTCAAAATTCTACAAAAGCTGGGATTTTATAGAAATACAGCGTCTGCTTATTTGACCATAAATTTGGATTAAGATTAGTATGGTTCAAAAGTATGTAAAAAAATTACTTTGTTTAGAGTAAAGGGTTTTGTTGGCAACAGGCACTTATAAATACTTACAAATTACCTTTGAGGGGAATGCAAAGCAGCCGTACTCCAACTGGCCTAACATACCTGAAATCACTGGCCGCTTTACACTCAAATTTAGCATTTTTAGAATAAGAGGCAAGTAGAAGTAGTTAATAACAGTATTTTCAAGTGATCTTTATAGCAGTTCAGTGGAAGGAAGGAAGAGGAAGCCATGTTAAGAGCTTGCCTGCTCACCAAGGGCGAGGTTTTTGGCAGCTTTCATTTACACGTGTTTTCAGATGCTTCTAACTTGGATTGATCATTTTTAAGTTCATGTAATGTGCAGTAGTCTCCCGTTGAAGTATTTGAAAAAAATCAATACTGTTTAGTTGTATCTTAGAATGATACTAGTCAGGAAAATATGTTTGTTGGGTTTTTTTTGGCAGAGATGGTGCGTGTTCTTTGAGAATCTAAAAATAGTGAGAAACATGGAGGAAGGGGTAAGTGTAAAAGCAGGATGTCTGTTGCCTGGGAACCAGGAGCTGTAGCAGCTTTGTGTTAGAGACTATAAACTTATCTAGAATATGATACGAGATCTGAATGCTTGTGCTACTGGCTAATAGATGAGTAACTTGGAAGACATTTTGTATTTCATACTCTGGTGTTCCCCTCTGCACTCTGCTAGAAGCATTAATCTATCTGGAAGAAACGGGAGTTTTCTTGTGTGAAAGATCTGAATCCTTTTGGTGAAAAGTTGGAGAGTTAGTGTCATTCCCATTTTTGAATCCTTGCCTTTATCCATAAAAATATTTGGGATAGGAAGGAATAGCCTTGCAAAAGTTAAGGATTTTCAGATCTTCAGTTTCTTCTAATGCTTCCACCGCACTTGTGCAGTGCTTTATGGGATCCTGCCATATTCCCTGTGCAGGCTGTGTGCTCCTCTGTCAATGATCCAGGACTGTGCAGCCATGAGCTTACGATCTGCAAAATGAACTTCTTTTAAGGAAAAACTTGGCAACAGTGAAGGGGGTCAAATTGCCAGAGGTGAAAAGATAGTCTGATGGTGAAGGACCAAGCATGCTGGTTTGGAGGACTGGGTTTTCTTTCTGCTGCTGTCATCAGGTTCTTTAACGCGGAGCAAGACTCCATGAGTTCACAGAAACTCAGAGAGTATTTTGCTAAATGCTTAAATTATGGTGACTGGGGCTACATCTGCAGAAGTGCAGAGTAATCACATCTATAGGTTCAGTAGATCTGTTCTGAAAATACTGGGTGAAAGTGTCAGTATTCATCCATACACACTGGATACTACATGTGGTGGTACCAGGAGCAAATCTCACAGGACATCTCAGATCTGAAAAAGACCTCACAGTCTTTATTCTTCTGACAGTAAGTACTTGCAAAGAAGCTGAGACATCTGTGGCCTGTACAGAGTGCAGAAAGCAAGGTTGAGCTTTGCACTGAAGGGGATTGAAAATAATTCTCTGAATGAGAGAGGGGTTCCTATGGGGAAAAATGTGAACCTGCAATTTAAGGTCATATCATATAATGCACAAGGCGATGGTGCATCTTGCAGTTCATAATTTGACTTTGAAACCTTCATTACTGTAGGTTTTGGATATAAATTCTATACAGATTCCATAAATTACTGAGGGCTCTTTGTGGTTTGCGTTCACAACATCTGGCACATCTAAATTACGTGTGTCAAATTAAGAGAGAGTCTGAGCTGATATTGCTAATCCTGCAGTTTGATGACAGTTTTAGATTGAACCTATTTTCATCACATAAGCAAACTTGCATGTCACTTGAAGTTCTTTTAATAAATTCATAGTGAAATATAAGAATACATTTTGATTGCTGAAGATCATGTTTGTTATGGCAGGCCAATTTCTTTAAATTTCGAATCGGTCAACCCAGAAACAATGGATTTTTTGCAGCACTGTAACAAGAAACATATGCTTGTTTTACATCCAACTTCCATCCAACAGAGAGCTGCAGCAGATACAATTCTCATAAGAATTTTGATGAAATGTCACTCTTGTCATTATAATGGAACTGTTTTAGCATTACTATGATAAACACATTCCTACTTGAAGCATTTTTCTCTCTAGATAGCACAGGTCAAAGATTATCTTCAGGATTTCTCCACAGTGCTGCTGCGCCTTTGCGGTCACTTTTGATGACTGAAACTTTGGCCAGGGTAAGGCCAAGTGAAGTTCCTTTGCAGTGTGGAACAGGCAGAGGCAACCTGAGCCACTGCTGCTCCTAGGTGACACTGAACTCCAGCCTCAGTCTTCCTGTCTAGTATGCGGCTGACCTGAATGCCTCAAGTGACTGCAGTCCTCTTAGCGTCTTTCAGCACAAGCTAAGATCCTGAAGAATCTGTAGGCAACTCTCTCCATTGTAAATAATTTGGGTTTAGCTTCCAAGTATCCTCAAAGAACTGGGCTTGATCCCCGAACTCAGTTTCCTCAAACTCCTTTGCAGGCTATGCAGAGCTGCAAGCTTCCTTTGGGGCAGTTAATGTAAATACTTCAGTGTCAAACAGTTCCTGGCTTGCCCAGGACCTGAGTGCTGGTTGTGCTGGAGCTAGGTGACAGCCTGGTCTGGTGTCCCAGGGTGCAAGAAACAGCACGCACTTCTGCTTCCCTTGCATGGTGGGTGTTCTTATGGCATCTCTGGAGGAGGAGCCCTCAAAGCCTTCTGCTCACTGGTGACTTAATGCTCGCTAATGCCAGCAAACTGTGGGCTCAATTCCTTTCTCTTTGCAAAAAGGTGTGGATTCAGTTCCTTGCTCTGTGAATGCTTTAGTTCTTTTCTGGAGTGCAAGTGGGGCTGTTAGTCCCTTTGGCTAATTCTGTTCTGCTTTTGAAAGGTGTAATTAACTGCACCAGGAGAGTCTGTGACTTGAGTAGGTGGTTAGAGCTGTTTTCTAGGCTGCTTCAGAATAAGGGCAATGCCTGACTGCCCCTGCATAGAGGCACTTGCCTGCTTGGGAAGTTACTGCCCACAAGCTAACTGCCTTCAGCTGTGATTTCTTCCGTGCTCAGCTCTCTCCTGCAGTACCCAAGTTCTGAGCAATTCCTGGCACCTGGACCAAGGAAATAGCCCAAGGGCTTAAGGGAGAAACACAAAGTGGGTGAGGGATTGTGGTAAACCCAGGGTTAGGAAACCATGCACAGGGATTTGGAAGAAGTGGAGGGAAAATAAGTTGACCTCAATCCCCTTTGCCTGCTTTGGGGCTGTGTGGTGAGGATGAGGTGAGGTTGGGGCATTTATGTGCAGATGGCCACTAGAAAGGTGGGGGAAAAGAAAAATGTGGTTAAATGCATTTTGGGGTAATGGGACCACTGAGTAGGATGGTGTGGAAAGGGAGGTATGTGGTGGTTTGGCAAAGGCCAAGGTGATTTGCAGGCCACTGCAGAGGGTGACACCCATATGTCCTAACCT